GAAAAATGAAGAAATGAAGGAAAATAAAATAAAAATTACATTTTCTAAGACGCCATTAAAAAATTCGTTTTAAAATTAAATTCCTGTCGATTGTAGCACAGTATTGCTACGTACGTTAAAAAATTAAATATTCTTATATTGCATTTGAAATACCATAACTTGTGTTCATAATTATTATGTGCTAAATCGATTTTATCGTTTCATTTTGGAGGATCAGGACTTCGAACTGGTATCTCTTGTCCTGTAGAACAGCGGTAGTGCCAAAATAAACCTATGAATTTTTAATTTCTTTAGAATATTTTCACCAAATATTTTTTGGTACTTTTTCATAGATCTCCTTCAAGTGTGTTTCAATATTGAAAAATGATCATCATTAAATATTTCTGGCGTGGATATAACAACAGTCATTTCGAAACCTAATGACCGTTCGCTTTTACATCTTTGTGTCCAATTGCAATCAATCGATAGCTTGCAGGACGCCGTCTATTTTTTCGCTTCCTGCATGAAAAAAATATTGTCGAGTACTCAATTTATTATGTTTACAAGATGGGCTACCAGAATATGTTTTTTATTTCCCTAAAAGAACTATTAAGAAATTCTTTCGAACTTTTTAAGAAACCAGGACTGTGGGCTATCATTTTAGGAATAATAAGACTCGGCTAGGAAAAAACTATAGATGAAATATTCCTTTACGATACGAATTTTCTTGCTCTTTGTGTTGACTAGCCCAACCTCTGTTGTAGTTAGCGTCCCTTACCGGATATTACCTTTTTACAAACTCATTACTTTTTCTTTTCTGTATAACTTAAAATGTGTAAGGAATTGTGATGCTGATAGTGTTTTGTTGTTGTTGTTCGCGGTCTCGGTGGTGAAGTCAGTGATATTCACATTTTAATTCTCGTTGCCTTTATTTAGCGTTTTATAGTGAAGTAGTAATGCGGACATTTCTGCCTCGTAAGAAGGTTTTGAAGATGAGGTTTATAGGTTGGCTTTATAGCAAAGGCGCGTCGCAGCATTGCGCTGAGCGAGTCCCAGAGGACAGATACTTTAAAGTCTTACGCGCCAGAAGCCCCAGATATTGAATCTCAGCAAACATTACCACCCACTCACGTTGTTGAGAAGGAAATGGTGTCTTCATGCGAGGCAATTATTGATGTGTGTCACTCCCTCTTCACAATTTCATTTCAATTAAAATGTAAAACTTTACATTGTAGGATAATTCTAAAATTAAAAACTGTTTTTTTTTTACGCCGTCGATAAATTTTATTGCATCATGTTAATATTTAGGGTGGTTTCGAGAGCATGTCAACGACGAAATGAACAGTCATAAACTGTATTTAAAATGGATTTCTGTTAAAGACAGTTGCCATAAATTTAAACGTGACAGATAGCTCCAAATAGTCTACAAAAATTTAATTATATAGAACTCCATTGTTAAAATTAACTATATAATGGAAACATTTATTTTCAATCTCGCCTTTTAATTAAAATTCTTGAGTAGTGGCGTCAGTAATAGGTCACTCGGAGGAAACCTTCTCCTTTTTCCATCATAAGGGTCCTATCCGTTTCAAGCAAGGCTTGCAAGCCACTTTGGGATGAACGCGACTGCCCTCCAAAGAGGAAAAATCCAAGTATGCGCAAGCAGACTGAGAACATTGCTTAGTGCTTTCAATGGAATAAAAAGACCCCCCCTCCCGAATATTTTTTTAAAAAAATGTTAATTCGTTCACAAATTTGAAAAGGAATCTTGTACTATAAGGTACTTTAAATATATTTATATGCCCTACATTGAATTATGACATAAATATTAAATTTTACAGTTGCAAATTGAAAGATTCCAGTTTTATTTTTTTAATTGTTGCTCAAAATTTCAAAACTCTTAGAGGGAGTTCTATAAATTGTATGTTCTTAGCTCAGAGCTCCTTCGGATTTCAATACGTGTCTGGCTGCGATGCAGATTTAAACCAACGCTATGCAGGCTTGCACAGCTTCGGCTTGATGCGTGGAGTGGCCCTTTAAGAGGGCAGTCAGGATTCACAGGCAAGTCAGACTCGCCAGCTTCACGTTGAGTGTGGACGAGGGCCCTTTAATTCGGACTATTCACTGGCAAGCCAGGCTTGCAAATTCGACAGTTTTACACGGGCGCCGCCGCAGGCCTGTCAAGCCAGGCTGCCCGTGAATAACCCGCCTTTACCGTCGCGCCTGCCACGTGTACTAAACCCCTGCGCGGCTGCGGCGCGGCAGCGGCTGGCTGCGGCGAAGCCCGCGTGTCGTGCGCGGCGGCGGCCGCGTGCTGGAAACTGCGCGTGCGCGCGTGGCGGCGTGGGCGGCGTGGGCGGCCTCGTGCGCGGCGGCGCGTGCGGGTGCGGCGCGCCGGGCGGTGCGGCGGCGCGCCGAACGCCGCGCCCCAGCAGACATCGAGTTGAACGGCGACAGCGTGCTGCGAGTTGAGCTGCTTGCGCAGGGCGCGCGCGCGGTTGCTGAAACCACACTTCACCCGCGCCTCCGTCAGCTTTCGTCCTGCGCACAAGCCAGAGCCAGGCCGACCTGTCAGAGCGAGGCACGCTGCGGGGTGGGCGACGAGGGGAAACGTGCGGCTGCGACTTGGCGTTTGGGTGATTGGCCAGGGGTCAAAAGTATTCGCTTCGTAAGGTCATACACTAGGTGTTTTTCGCCGGCTAGGGAAGGTTCCTAGTGAAGTGAAGTTCAGCAGCTTTCAGTTAAAAACCTTCTTGCAGAAAGCTCTCGAAGAGGTAATACATTAGGAACCTGCTGCATCACATTTTCTCGTCATAAAACACCCACATATTTTATCTACAAATTTTCCGTAAAAACGAATATTTCTTCTTGGAAATTTACTTTACTAAATTCATAAAAAAATTGACATTTCATTAAACGCCGAAATACGAAAATTCGTATCGAATGGTTGAATTTAAACAAATAGACATTGCAATCCGAAAAAAAAACATTGCTTAGAGCTGTACTGTTTAATGTCTAATGGTATTGATTTTATTTACCGCATCTATTACTTTTAGAACCCAGAAACTACTTCTTCAAACCTATCCATACACTTGACACTCGAAATAGAACTCCGCGTAAAGGGACATAACCACTCTTATTAAAGAGGTCAAAAACAACTTGCGTCTCTATACCCGGAAAGTAAGGTACTGGATTGACAACTAAGTATACATCTTTCCACAAACATTTTAAATTGATAGGTACCAGGGCGGGACACATTTGGGATATGAGGGCGATAATATCGCAGGAATCGTGTAATCCCTTTAATTTGCAAAACTAAAAATGCATTGGATGCCAGTAAATGTATTCGATGTGTTTGCAGTTAATTTTGTACTTGCGTACTCCAATATCATGAGTGATTTGATGCTATTTGTGATAGGAGACAAAAATTTTTGAGTCTATTAATAATTTAAT